TCTGCTATTGCTCCATCCCTTGAAAAAGTAGCATTGTGTTGGAGTTTCTCTCAAGTCAAGGTGCCAGAGAAAAAAATCATGGAAGAGTTTTTTTTACTGTAGAGAACCTCTGTGACATGAGTATTGAAAACTCTATATGGGAAAAATAAAATATTTTCAAACAATATTTGTAAGCAAGATCATTGCAGATTGACTCCACCAGTATGGTAGAAAAATCGAATTTGGGTTTTCATTTTACTGCTGTCTCCTGAAAGCTACACTCCATGTTGGCATTACAGTATTTGACAAGTCAAGGAGAATAAGTTTGTCTTTAGCATGCAGGCAATCCATATATCATTCAGGTGCAACCAAGGAAATGCTTCCTATTAGCTAATAAAACATGCAAAAAACAAAAAACAAAAAGGTTCATCTTATCTGTTATTGTTAGAGGTGAAAGCACTTGTTTGAATAGTTCCCATTCCCATATCCTCAGCTCTAATCTCGGTGGCCCCTGACAACAGCCACCCACACTGTTACCTATATGCTCAGTGGGCTCTGCATGGGTTCCAGCACATCTCTCTCAGCCCTGGTCGATTGAGGAATCGATTTAGGTGACAACTTGGGTTGACCCAGGAAGACACATAAACCAGGCCTTGAAAGGGAAAGTGATGAGTTGCATTAATGATTAGCACAGGTCGTTTTATAGCGGGGTGAACATATGGGTTTCCTTTGCCAGTCCATCGTCGCGCAACGTGGAAAAAAGCGGGTTCAGCGAAAAATGTTGGCACGTCATTTCCCTTCCTTGTTTCAGAAAAAAAAATATATTGAAAAGTGTGAAGTGGAAATATCAAATTGGTTGACCAAAAATCGTCTAACAAAGAAAAATTATTTTCTTAGTCAAAATGTATTCTCTGCTGGTCATAATTTCAATCCCTTTTCTGTATTTGAATAAGTACATCAAGATCTTGTTCAGCTGATTTTTTGAAGAAATTGGCAATGCTTTGTGCAGTGGCACTATATCAGACAGTATACAGTCAACCCCCGTCTAACGGACTTGATTTGTGCAAGGGATGAGTCCGTTGGACAAAAAGTCCTTTACACGTATTCAATTACATATAAAATTAAAAATTTCAATTTTCAACCAAAAGAAGTCTGTTTGGCGGATTTTGTCTGTTGGGTGGGAGGAAAAGCTGCTTGCAGCGCTGGTCTGTTTGGCAAAAATCCCTTACACGGGAGGTCTTTTAGGCAGGGGGCCACTGTATTTTAATTTCAAGCATAAATTGATTGTATGCTAAAAGAATTTGTGAACCAGATGAAAACTGAACTTGTGAAAACTGAGATTCAATTTTTCATGAAACAGTCAACCACTACACAACAAACTAATATAATTGGTGCAATAGAATACAGTAGTCTGTTGTGTGAAAAGTCTGTCATGCAAATTCAATTGTAAAAAAAAGTAAATTGTTATTTTTCAAAATCAATTTTAATCAACGGGAGTCTGTTATGCAGATTTAGTCCATAGTGTGGGAGGGAAACCTCCTCAAGAGGTGGTCTGTTCTGCAAAAAGGTGTTGTCTGGGAGGTCTGTTGTCCAGGGGTCAACTATAAAAGTGACATCCTTTTCTGCAAGAAAGGTTCAGAAGCAATAATATTGTTAGGCAAACTTTTCTCTCTTTCTATTGGGTCAAGTGTTTACTTTTGTTTCTTTGATGTTTCAAATAAAGTCCTACCCATTATATTGTTCTTCATGTTTCTGGTTCAAGTTCAATAAATACCAATGGTTTAGAACTTTTGACATAAAGTTTTATAGTTTGAAAATTTTTAAGCACTCTGAAACTGTACATTCAGTATTTCAAACAAAGTGTGGTCATGAAATAAAATGTGTTCACCAAAGTTTTGCTTCTTTTAACTGGATCATATCATTGAACAGATTTTTAAATTTGATTACCCACTCTCTGACAGTGAGCAGCTTTTATGACTTCATTTATTTCAACTAAATATCTTCATGAAATATTGAAATGGCACATGACTCTGCTTAGATTTAGTCAAACTCTTTTTTGAACTAAAATTTTAAATTTGCCAATACCAAGTCTAAAAATCCCCCTTTTCATTTTATGCTCTGGTATGAAGAAAATTTGGAAACTTTCGTTTATCACGCGAATTCCACGTGCATCAAATGAGTACAATAATTTGTTACCTATAGCAACCCTGTTCACAAAGGAACGATGCATTGTGAAAGTGAGAAACCCAATGGCATCTGATTGCTTTCCTCTGCTTTGTTGATTTTCCTAGTTTTATGGATCATGCATAGAATTTCTAAAGAAGGAAATATGGTATGTTTTTCATGTACGAATAAATTATCCCGGTGGATGCAATGAATCGCTTGGCAACCGATACTATTTTTCAAGTGACCATTTTCCAACACACCGCATAATTTGCGCTGAAACGGCAGCATTATTGCTAAAAAAAATCATAAAAAAAGAATATCAAAAGAAATTAATTTTTGAATTGCAGCCAGGAAATGGTTACATCAGCTTTTAGCAGTGAAGTTTTGAAAACGATGACGTGTTCAACATGAATTTTCACGTGTTGATATTCAATAATATTATGTGATGCTTTTTTTTGTACGTGTGCTTCTCTGCAAAAACTATTGAACAATATCGACGTCCACTGAACTCAATGGAAAAAAATAAAAAATTCGGTTGAAAACAGTGTTTTTCTCGATGCGTGAACATGTTATCCGGAATTGATTTTCTATATGAGCATGCCACTGTAATTGGCATTGCTGGTGAAATTTTTGTGTTGATAAGCAGAGTAAGGTATTATTGAAAGTCGGAGTATAAATGTCGGAACGATCATTTTCAATGAATGGTTTATATTATATTTTCAAGAATACTCGAGAAAGAATCAAGCAGTTTTATTGGTACAAATTTTAAGCTCACCTTCAAATTGAATTTCAAATTAATTCGTGATATTCTCCTAAAAAAAAAGTATATTGATCATAAAGGATGAGTTCATTATAACTTATTAAGTCAAATGCTGAGGTTCCTTAATTTAAAATGTTCTTTTTTAATTTTCTTGGCTATACATGTAGACATTTGACAATTTGAATAAATAATATTATTCAGGTGAATTTAACGTCGAAATATACTCTTGCTTATATCTCCAATAAAAACTTTGACAAAGATGCCAAATTATGTCACTGCTGAAGTGCTGATGAATGGAAAAAATTGGACATTTTTGGAGATTTCACCCACTTTATTGGGAAAAACTTTGGTTCTACCCCTTGCATTTGGGTTATTTATGAGTTTTTGACATGCACCGCAAATTTCTGTTCCCACCTACCGGAGGTATTTCCATGAAATTGGAAAATAGAGCGGAAAAGCACCTGGAATACCTTCATGGGAATCTTTATTAAACATCATGAAATTATTATCAGCAATTTTTTCAGCGCATAATAGTCATACATATAAATTACTTGACTGGTATATGTTCAACAGCAGGGGACAGGCTCGAAGCGTCGATTTTTTCTTGTTGCCGAATGGCAGAGAAAAAAGACGGGACTGTGCGAATTTTGCCAAGTAATTATTAAAATGGCACATTCTTTCGAAATTTTCAGTGAAGCGTTGAAAATTATGATGAAGTTTATATAGAAAAATGAAGCATGTCAGTTACTGTGAGCAAAGCTGACTATAAACTTCCAACCTACTTGAAAAAAATATTTCTTTTCAATATCGCACACTTTATCATGATTAAGAATTCAGTATTTTCAAAGCCTTCTGTGAACAGCTCTGAAATATTATTGATTTCAATAGCAGAATGATTTGTGCGATTTTGATTTTCAGTTCTCCTTCTACATGTTATGCTTCGAATTTATTTAAAAAAAATGCAATCCTGCAGATTGGAGAGAAACTATTTTGCAACAGGCTCATTTCTGTTATGGAAACCAGTGTTATTTTTTATCCATGCTTTGAAATCCAAATACTGTACAATATATACCAAATTGATTATTTCGAATCTTTGTTTGTGGAGTCTCTATACTGAACAAAGCAATGAAAAATTATGAGATATATGAATTAAAGATAAAATCTTTAAATTGTTTCATTATTCAGAGAAGCGGATGAGTCACAAAAATACTCATTGCAGTCAATCTCATCAATATACTCAACAATAATTAAGTTATCCAGCTTCCCCCTTTTGTTTTCAAAAATAATAGATGTACGATGAATCCTTGGATTATCGCACATGCATCTGCTCAAGCCTTATTAATTCATTAATTAGCTGATTTTTCAAGAATCAAAGTAAGTACTTTGTCATCTTAAATATATTTTACAAATTGTAATGATTGTGAAGGAATATACTGTATTTATACTTTAGTGCCACACACCTTTTTCCTCAAATTTAAGAAGAAAAAAAGGGTGCATGTCATAACTAAGTGGGTACAAATTTGCCAAGAAATTTTCAGAAGTTGTGTGTGCATTATACTTAATTATGATGGAGAAATTTGGAACAAATGTAACAAGAAAACTTTTTTGTACTGTATTTTGTACTGTGTGAAACAGTTGAAAATTGATGAAATTTTTGTTCAATTCATGTCTGAAGTCAATTTTTTGTATTTATTTTTGAAATTCTGTAGTTTTCAGATTCACTAAAAATAGGGGTGTGCATCTTACTTGGGCATACAATTTTAGCAAAATTTCCAACTGAAAAACCCCTGTGTGCGCCTTACTCAAGGGTGCCTGGTACTTGATGAGTGAATACAGTACCAAAATAGACAAATAGTATAGCCAAAATAGACAAACCAATTACAGTAACTTTATTTTGAAATCTCAGGATACATTGGTTAAAATCTACTAAATACAGGCTATATGTATGTATATTACTTCTTCTTATTTCAAATCTCAGGATAAAGAGAGATGTGAAAATAAAGTTAATTGGATTGAAAAATTTAAAAATCACCTTATTCACCAAAAGTTTTCTGAATTTTTTTTAGTTGTTCCAGCAGAAACTTAGCCATCTTTATTTTTAAACAGGTCCAAAAGCGGACAATTTTATTTGAAAACTCGATTATTGAAGGCTACAAAAATGCGGAAGTACGCGTTACTTTCCATCCTCTGGGCTTCCTTGGTGCAATTGTGCGCATTCCAGGGGCTTCCCAGCAGGGTAAACATGAACACCTGGGGGTTTGGACCCTGGGTTCAGTCTTCAGTTGGCAGCCCGTTACCCACGCCGCAAACATTTCGATCCACTGCCGAGCAGCTCGTGGTCGACCCCAACAACTTCGTCTTCAACTATGCTGCAAACACACAGTGTGAAGTGGTCGTCAAGGGCATTGAAAGGTTTTTTTGATTGCATCATTTTTTTTCAATTTTCTGAAGGGCAATTAAATAGAGTGAAAATATATGTCCTTGGGAAATTGAAATAAATTAAACCGGAAGAAATCGTTGATTAACTCACCAACCGTGTTTCGTCATGTTCCGAAGAACTCGGGGAATCTGCGACTTGGGTAAAACTACGATTCGGGCGACACCTACGCTAAGAGAAGTGAAATCGAAGTCTGTCATCCCGTGTGTCGAAATGTAGAGTGGAAAAGAATCACCTGTTTGCCGAAGAAAAAAATTCAAAGGAAAATCGTGAAATGTTAAAAACGTCGTAGTGGGGCTTCATTTATAAAATATAGACAAAAGATGCCTGAACCAAAATGTTGCGCTTCAAAATTCCCGCCGAAAATTACCGATCTTAAATATCGAATTGTGCATTACTTTTTAAAAATACATTATGAAAGTACTGTGGGTAGACGTCATATTTTGAACTAGATCCAGTAACACGTTTGAAGCAATTGTCAAGTTGGTGACTAGAACTGCCTGAATGCTTTCACTATACTGTAGTCCTCAATTGAAGCATTAAATTAAATTCATACACGGTACATTAAATTAATAGTTTTTAAATTTCAAATACTGTATCACCATAATAACTGAAATTCCTTTCGCTTAGTCTCCGTTTGTTTTAATTTATGACTGCAGATTTGCAAGTGAAATGGCAGCATTTGTAACATCTCACAGGATTAGCGAATATCTGGGAAACATTTCAAGTACAAGGATTATTATAAATTTCCTCTCAATTCTAAAAAGAAGGAGCCTCTTCAGATTTTCAAAAATCTGCCTAATACACATGAATCCCTGCAATTAGACCCTAATCCCATGATGGACTAGGGTATAATTGTAAAGCAGTTGAATTCCGAGTTCACATCGAGTGAAATATGTTTTCCACGAGGTATTTGACATTTTTTACCATCTCTCTGGGTCAAATATCAAGTTGACATTTCAGCAAACTTGACAATAAAATTTTGGAATGATAGAATTGCAGAAGGTCCATTTATTTTGAGGTATAATCCATATAGTCTTCAAATGAGATCAAAGTGAACATGTTTCTCTTATGATTTCTCACTAATCAATGTTGACTTTATAAATTGCAATAAATAGCTTTATTTTCAGGTATAGGGAAAGGATTTTCAACCCTGCGAGATGGCCAAGAAAACCAGCTGAAAATAACATACGGCAGCACCCCAAGGACACTTCCAAAGTTGCACAACAACAAGCTGTGAAAGTTTTGCAAAATCTCGAAATTATCATCAGTGGATCCGTTTGTGACACGCAACCGAAATTTGGCGACGATGAACAATGTGAGTACATTTCTTCTACAAAAACAATACGAAATTTTCTTTTGAAATTAAAGTATGACTATTTTTTAAATAAATTTTTTGGATGATCAGGTGAATTATTCGAATTCTCCTTATGAAATTACATGTGGACTCTTCAACTCTGCATAACGAAATTCAAGAGACCAAAAAAAAGCGATGTGGAGAGAATTTCGCTGTATATAGACTCCTTATTACGTAGACCAAAATTCCTATGGTCTATGTAATATACATAGTTCCCAAGGAACTGAAACAAAAATTGAAGAAATAATTTTAGGCAAGATCATTGTAGAAAGATTTCAATTTTTATTATGAAAGTTTAACCCTGATGGAACTTCAAAATGATTCATGACTTTCCATAAAATTCAGATACAGTGGGCCCCCGCCTAACAGACCTCCCGTGTAAGGGATTCTTGCCGAACAGACCAGCTCTGCAAGCAGTTTTTCCTCCTGCCCAACAGACAAAATCTGCCAAACAGACTTCTTTTGGTTTAAAATTACTGTTGAAAATTGAAATTTTTAATTTTTTATGTAATTGAATTCGTGTAAAGGACTTTTGTCTAACAGACTTGTCCCTTGCACAAATCAAGTCTGTTAGATGGGGGTTGACTGTACCTAGCTGTAGGAGATGCACAATTGAGGATTCTCCTGTGAATTGGCATAATTTCAGATACTCTCAAAATCAATTGGGAAGATTTGGAACCAGGAACTTCCACATTGTCCTCACCCACAGTTTGGGGAGCTTTGAGAGGCCTGGACACTTTCAGCCAATTGGTCTTTTTGTCACCAGATGATGGAAGATCAGTATGACCACTTCTTTTTTTTGTTTTGTTTCAAGCTTTCACCAACATCCGTTCAAATATTGATCTGCATTCTCTCATATTCATCTGTTTCAGTTTATCGTGAACACGAGTTTAACCACGGACTTTCCGAGGTATTCGTGGCGAGGTGTTTTGGTGGACACGTCGAGACATTTTTTGCCAGTGTCACTTTTAAGGGAAGTCATCGACATCATGGAGCAGAACAAGTTGAATGTGTTCCATTGGCACATTGTGGACGACAACTCGTTTCCTTTTGAAAGCGAAGTTTTCCCTGAGCTGAGGTGAGTGATTCTCAGATAATTTTAACTCTATGTTTGTTCAAAGACAATTATTTTTTTAATGTGGAAATTTGGCCCAATCTCGAAATCTTTGAGCTATTCGGAAATTCTTTGGAACCCTCAACTTGATCAAGCTGTACATTGTCATGCTGAATACAACATATGGATACTAAATCCAACCCAAGGATTATGAAAAAGAAAAATTTAAACGTTTTTCATGAGCAGAGCAGATTTACTTTTTCATAAACAAACTTTTGATTTCTCAATCATGAATCCATTAAAAACAGACGAACCAATAAATGGAATAAAACATTTTAGAGATTTATAAATTTCCAGTTTGAGCAATGGGGACAACTTTCCCATACTACCCTTGAAAATGTTGCTGTAACCTTTGATAACAAAATAACCCTTCGAAATGCTCATATGAGAGGAAGTAAAGTTTATATCATTGAGAAACATTCTAGAAGTTTTTTTAATGGTCTGCAGATTTTTCACTGAAAATTTTTTTTCTTTTCAATTTAGCAATCAAGGAAGATATCATCCTGGCAGAACATACTCACCAGCTCAAGTTATTGATGTGATTGAACATGCCAGATTAAGAGGGATCAGGGTTGTACCTGAGTTTGACACACCTGGTAAGTGTTGAAAAATACACAATGACAAGATTATCAAGCATGGTATTCTTAATTTATCACATGGTATTTTTGGAAAGGATTTTATATTGCTTATTAGGTGAAATTTTCTCAAAACATGTAGCTACTTTGACTGGAAAAGCAGCCCAGCTATTAAAAAATTTTCTTACCATGCAAAATTTTTTTGGCATGACATTGAAATTTGAATGAAACAAGTACCTGTCATGACATGACAAGATGCCTCATGGAAAGATTCTATAGTGCACATGTATTTTAAGTTATATGATTTTATCTGAAGGTCACACTCAATCCTGGGGTCCTGGACAGCCTGGTTTACTCACAGCTTGTTCTCAGGCAAAGTTGACATCAGCAGCAAGACCATTCTTGCCATATGGTCCTATTGACCCATCCAAAGATGCAAATTATGAATTCTTGAGAAGACTGTTTGATGAGATCACCAGGGTCTTTCCTGATGAATTTTTGCACTTGGGTGGTGATGAGGTAGACTTTGCTTGCTGGTGAGACATTTTCCTTCATTCTTTCACTTTACTATGATTATAAGTGATCTATTCAAATATTTCACAAAAAGGGCAAGCAATGAAGATGTGAAAAACTACATGGACCAGCTGAACATAACAGGTGACTATGCTGCACTGGAAGCTCACTACATCCACAGACTCATTGACATAATCAATAGCCTGGAAAAGAAGAAGAAACCAATTGTCTGGCAAGAGGTGTTTGACAATGGTGTCCCCCTCAGCAACGACACAGTGGTTCATGTTTGGATTGGTGATAATTGGCAAGATGAGATGGCAAAGGTAATGTCACTCAGAATGGCCTAAACAATAAGAAAAGATACATTGCTGGGTAGTGACATTCCATTCTGAACCAAAATGTTCATCCTTGAGCATTTCAGTTGGAATGCTTTTGAGAAATTTTGTATCCATGAAGACTGGCCATTTAAAAAATGTACTGTATTTTTGAATCACTGCCTGAGTAGTGAGTACTGAGTAGTGACTGAAAAGTCCCTATATGTTTTTGAAATCATTAAGAACATTTTGCCTGAAAAATTCCCCAATGTGTTGAATTTTTTTTGCAATCCTCTCAAATGATGAACATTGGAAATTTCTCAAGAGAAAAGGATATTCTCCACCCAGGTATTATCTCCATTCAGGTCTTCTCAACCAAAAAGCATTTCAGTGACCAATTTCAAAGTGGAATGAACCTACCCTCAGAAAAATCCCAACCCTGCTGCCAAATGGAGAGGCTCTATACTGTCCTGGAGTTTAAAAAAAAGATTGAGACAAAAGAATGGTCCAGAAATAGAATCAGCTGTTTCTACCTAGTTAAAAGTGAATGATGAACAAGAAAGTAAAAAACAGGGTAGGATGAATGTTGTGTTTAATTTTTATTAATCAAACTGTTGATTGTACAGTACTCAAAAGAAACAAATTGCAGATATACATCCAATATGGTCTAACCCTGCGCAATGGACTTGCTTTGTGCAACAAACTAGTCATTTGTGGCGTGAAAAGTCTGTTATGCAAATTAAATTATTTAAAAATCTTAAAAATTCAAATTTCACCATTAATTTTAAAGCAACAGAAGTCTGTTTAGTGGATCTAGTCCATTGCACAGGAGGGAAAACTGCCTCCAGAAACAGTCTGCTGTGCAAAAATGCATTGCCCAGCCAGGAGGTCTGTTTTGCAGTGGTTGACTGAATTCCCATACTGTTATAGAAAGTTTTCCAAATAAGCATGACGTATTCCTACAATATTCATGGATTTTCCTATTTTTTGAGGCAAAAATTTTAGGCAACATCAAAGCTCTACAATTTGTATTGATCAAATTTCAATGAAGAATATTTCACTATCAGAATATTCACAAGCCTCATTTGATTCATATTATATCAATTTTTGTCAGGTAACCAGAGCCAACAAGAAAGTCATCTTATCTGCTGGCTGGTACCTGAACTACATCAGCTATGGCCTTGACTGGGAGAAGTACTACCTCCAAGACCCAGAAGGGTTCCAAGGAACACCTCAACAAAAGGCTTTGGTCCAAGGTGGAGAGCTGTGCATGTGGGGAGAGTATGTGGACTATACTGCACTTGTTTCAAGGATGTTCCCCAGGGGCTCTGTGATTGCAGAGCGGTTGTGGTCTTCTGCGAATGTGGTTGATGTTAACAATATGGCCGCGAGGTTGGAAGAGCACCGGTGCAGACTGGTTAGGCGCGGCCATGATGCTCAGCCTCCAAACGGGTCCGGTTTCTGTCCTTTTGTTGTTTTGGACTGAGCTTCTTTCAACAGTTTTTTAGTGTAATGTATTTTGTGACGAGGATATTGAGGATATTCTCCCCTTTCCGAATTTGTCTCCAACACTTTTTTTTTCAAATTTTTCAGCAATGTATGTATAGATGACAAAATATACAAATGTGCTGGTTATTTTCCAAAAGAACAAGAGCCTTCTTCTGGTGAACTTGAGATTTAGTGAGTCTCCAAAACTGATTTTAGCATATTATTGATGTTATGTGTCCATATTTGTGAAATCAACTGAGCCAACTGACAGCACATGTGGTTATGGTCAACAGTCAACCAAACTCAGTATTTGCCAAATTGAAAACTTTTTCATCAGCATTGACTAGCCTTATTTTGCTGTCATTGAGAATATTGTATCTGAATTTTTTTGAAAACATGCAGTATAGGAATTAGGGATCCATGGAGGCATGGATAGATACTGTATTCAGCATCACCAAAAATGTTCAATGGTAGCTTTCAATTGAGTGGATGTACTGTACTCCATGTGCATTTTGTTCAAGCAGTGCTGTGATGCAGCACTGCAGCAGTTCATGCCAGACTGCTCTTTTATAAATGAGAAGAATTGGTTTGCCTCTAGAATTTTTTTGCTGCAGAAATCCTTTTATGCACAAGGTATGTTAGTTAAATGTTAGTCAAAAGTTTGCTTGTAAGTGGAAGGCAAATATAGTAATTTTTTTTCTAACCAACTGTTTGCAGGAATTGTGCTATAAGAGTGAACTCCAATACGCACCTTATAAAAACCAAAAAAGCTTAATATTATTGAAATTGGAAGCACAAGCCAATGCCTGTTTTGCCCAAACATTAGTAATTTCTCTGACAACTCAGAAAGTATTGTAAACGTTTTTGGAGGCATTGTGAATGCATTTGTTGGTGAGCAATTGACACAAATGCATTTATACTGTAGGAACCAACCAAATCATATTATGCTTATCTTTACTTAAGCCATATACTCTGCTAAATTCATCATGGAAGGTGTTAAGCTTGGAAACTCACTTGTTTAAGAAAACTACGAACAGCACACAGATCACTCTCATGGTAAGTTAACATTCTTGTTTGGGACATTCATGGGTAAAAATGATCAAACAAGTCAAGCTGAAAGAAGCATACTGTATTTGGGTCATTTGGTCAGGTCATGTTTTTCTTTCTGGTGCATTTCTTTATTAGGCATCAGGATGAATTGCATGCACAAGCAACCAATAATAAGACAGTATTATTTTCAGTGTATTGTATGGCATATGTAATGGAGTACCACACACCCTCAACTGCCTCAAGTAAGACATGTACCAGCCCAGCAAATAATTTGGATGTTGAAAAATGTGTTGGGAGGGTGTTATCATGCCATTATGGCAAGACCATTGTGAAAACATCATCTTGGTCTTTACTCAATTGTTGTGTCGCAAACCAGCGCCAGGCCAAGGTGCTGTGTGGCGCCAGCAGGATAGAGTCCTGCCCACGCCACAGCTTATGTGGTGCTTACGTGGTGGGACGCTCTGCACCCCAAAGGAAAACGCACAAGGCAGGATGTGCTACAATGCGCTCCAAAGCAACTTTTTGGCCCGGAAGGGGCAACTTTGGCAGAGTGGTAAACCTGCCTGGAAACTGGATTTAGCCAGGGTCAACTAGGTTGCCCTTGGCTCAATCCCAGGGTTATTCTGGCCTGCATAAAAGGGCTGTGTATTATGCACAGTCAATCAGTATTCTATCAGCCTTTGATTTGGCTTCACTCAGTCTTTACTCAGTCTTAGTCCAACTGCAGTCAGCAGTCCTTTCCTATCCTGTTGTCTGTGTTGTGATCTTTGGTGATGCTAATGGGAATGCTGGGGACCTGTGACAAGTATGGGANGGATATTGTTCTTTGTTGCGAATCTTGTACATCTGAGTGTGTATTCCTTGTATCTTGTGCAAACTGTGTGTATAATTTAACAAGAAGTGTGTGTGTGTGCGTATCAAAGAAAGGTCTGCGCTAGTAGGGAGAAATCCCGGTCGGTTCGCGCCCGGCCAATTGCCGTGTTCTAATTTATTTTTCCTCTGTCTTGAAACTCTGCTAAAAAATCCGCAATCAAGGTGTAAGGCTTGATTAATCTAATTCTTACTGGTAAAACCTTACAATAATGGAAGGTGTTAAGCTTGGAAACTCACTTGTGCAAGAAAACTGCAAACAGCACACAGATCACTCTCATGGTGAGTTAACATTCTTGTTTGGGAAATTCATGGGTAAAAATGATCAAACAAGTCAAGCTGCAAGAAGCGTACGGTATATGGGTCATTTGGTCAGGTCATGTTTTTCTTTCTTTTGCATTTCTTTATTAGGCATCAGGATGAATTGCATGCACAAGCAACCAATAATAAGACAGTATTATTTTCAGTGTACTGTATGGCATATGTAATGGGGTACCACACACCCTCAACTGCATCAAGTAAGACATGTACCAGCCCAGCAAATAATTTGGATGTTGCAAAATGCATTGGGAGGGCATTCTCATGCCATTATGGCAAGACCATTGTGAAAATGTCATCTTAGTCTTTACTCAATGCCTTGCCCCCTAATTTTGGCAGGGGGCATTTTGAAATGTGCTTGGAATCCATTGCCAACAGGGTTGAAACCATTCAGCCTGAAACGCAATAAAAAGGGCAATATTGCCTACCATTCCATTGCCATTGGCAAACACATTCCCAAGGTGATGCCAATGGCATTGCCCCAATTTCTGACAGCACTAAAAAAATACAAAATAAATTCCCCATTTCCTTGCTGCTATTTACTTCTTCATATTACCTTCTTTGTTTTATACTCTTTCTTCTTTACTTCACCTTTGTGCTTTCTGTTCAAAAAATTCTTTGCTGCTGCTTCTCCCTTGCTTTGAATCTGCTGTCCTGATGATGCTCCTGGGTTTCAAACTGGGGCCATCTGAGTGAGAGTCAGTCACCTTTACATCTAGCTATGCACTCACAAGCTAGATCCAATGTGAATAGGTATGCTACTTATACTAAATGAGGTATTTCCATATTCATTCAGAAAATCATGAGCTGTAATATTTTTGTGGTAAAAAGGGAGTTCCTGAATTAAATTTATACATGATCCTCACCTCCATTTCAATCATTAAAAAATCACAGCTTAATATGCCTTGCTCTAATAATTGTAGCAATATTTTTTTTGTAAAAGCTATTCTGCTGATGAATGAAAAATGCCAGCAACATTTGATATTAATTTGCTGTAACAAATTCAGAACCAAACTTATTCTTGCAGCTGGATTCAGCTCGAAGAATTTTTATGTACTGTTAAAAAAAATCTATGATAAAAAATTACCCAAAACTGTGAAGATCAGTAAAAATTCACTACTTAAGCTAGGAGGGTGTTCAAAAAAAAAGCAAAATGTTCCTCAAATTGAGGGCAATCCAAATTTATCCTTGCATTGAACAATGAAGTGTCAAGGAAAGCTCAATGAATGTTCAATGAATGCTCACTGAATGTTCAATGAATGCTCAATGAACCTTCAATGAACACTCAATGAATGTTCAATGATCATTTGATGTACACTCAATGATCATTCAATGTTGCTCAACTTGAACATTGATTGATCATCAAGTGTACATCAAATAATCATCAAATGTTCATTGAGCATTCATTGAGCATTCATCATTCAATACAAGAAAAAATTTGGATTGCTCTCATTTTGGGGAACATTCTGCTTTTTTTGAACACCCTCCAATCTTAATTAGCAAACTTTTTACAGATCTTCAAAGTTTGGAGAAAATTTTACACATTGCAATATTTTGAAATAGTTTATAAAAAATATTCAGAGCTGAAACTGCAGAGAGAACTGCCATGTTGGATTGCATGACACTGTGAACATCATGTTTAACTGTGATGATCTTGTGAACATAACACATTAATCTTTGTTTATACTGTATTCCTTTTGTATATGGACTGCAAATTTTAAAATTCTCATCAATAAACAAAAATGTAATGCACTTAATGTTTTTTGGGGACAACAGTCACCACAACACAAGAAAAGATAAGGAAAGAGGAAGCTGTTGATCAAAAGAAGAGTTATGAACAGAAACACAGACTCAGCCGAGGACTGTGGCCAGGAATTCTCTGTGGAATTCCTTCAGTTAATCTAGAAATATATATTCTTTGTCCCACAAATTTGAGTTCAAGACAAGTTAAGATTTTCACAAAGAACAAGTTTTAAATAAGTTTTCACCAGAATTAACCTCTCAGCAAGCTCAAATTTGTAACACTGTGTTCATTGCACAACAGCTAGGATCAGGCTGGTAATGGAATTGGGAAACAGTGGTTTTTATTAATTATTGCCATTGGCCTTGATCCAGCACTCTGGCTGATGATCAGGTGATTTTCAGAGGCCTGGGATTGGCCAGGAAAATCAAAGTTGAAGATGACTCTGGGGGCAGGAAATCAGAGAACAAAAGTTCTCCAAGTTTTGCGGTTTTTCTGGGGCTCTCTGCACGGATTTTTTCCTTGGGGTGATGTTTCCACCCATAAACTTCAATTAATGAGGCCCTCATTACACTGGCAGCGGCTGGTCCCCAACAATGTTGAAAAAAAGATACTTCAGGGGAAATAATTACTGTACAGTATTTCACTTCATTTTTTCAAACTGCAGTTTTATTTTGGCTAAGTGAAGTTTAAAAAGAAGAAAAATATCCTGTGTTTTTGGGATTAAGAAAATGTCAGAAGTGTCATTATGACAACATTAACGAAGTGCTTAAATATATACATGGTGAATCGTTGTTCAACATTATTACCTGATGAAATACCTGCTTGCTGATAAATGAACTGTTGTTTCAAAAATATGGATGAGGTATTCGTTTTACAAACATGTCGTAAGTGGAATCTCCAATGAAAATATAGATGTCACTGCAATCTGTTCAAATATTTCTGGGTCGTCCTCGAGGGCAGTTCTTTTTATTCGAAATAATCAAGTTGTGCAAACGTTCCAACGTTTTTTTTTTATCCATTTGGCATATACTGTACCTCATTCTTGCTCACTGGAAAAATGAGATGGCAACAATACCAGGAGAGATGACCCATGGGAGCGGGTGAGAATACTTTAGGGAATTATCTATCCATGCCACAAGTAACAAGCCCTGCACAAACACAGAATCGAATGGTTCATTGATCCACTGGGATCTGCATTTCATCACCGACAGACTTTGCAGAACGTGAGGATCGCTCTCTGCGGGGCTGTGTGACGAGGAATTCCAGAGGAAAACACAGAAGTT